CCCTCCCTCCCTTCCTTCCTTCCATCCTTCCTTCCTTCCTTCCTTCCTTCCTTCCTTCCTTCCTTCCTTCCTTCCTTCCTTCCTTCCTTGCTGTTACTGAGGCTTGCACTCAAGGATTCATGCTTGGCTTTTTCCACTCAAGGGTGGTCATTTACCACTTGAATTACAATTCCACTTCTGGCTTTTTGTTGGTTAAATGGAAATAATTATATCATGGATTTTTTCTGCCGAGGGCTGGCTTTAAACCAAGAACCTCAGATGTTAGCCTCTTGAGTACTTAGGATTACAGGCATTGTGCCATCAGTGCCCAGCTTCTTCTTTTATGATACATTTCTTTTTCTTGTTTTATAATGCACAAATGTTAATAGTGTTAAGGTGGTATATTTTGTCAGGAATATTTTACTGTGATGAAAAATAACATGTTCAGTAATGCAATGTGGGCCAGGAAGTCCCCATGCTCCTGCTGTAAGCTGGCAGTGTGACCTTGAACAGTATTTTATTGAAAGACATATAAACTCTGCATGGTCCCCAAGCCCTTTTCAGTGATAAACTTTCCATGCTGTTACATTCTCTTGCTGGTACAGTCTCCAGGTGACCTGCTGAGTCTTAAACTTATGTGTTCAACATTTATGGAATAATTAAATATTTTGAGTACTTTATGACCCCTGAAAAAAAGTTTTCTTGTCATTAGATAGTGATGTCAGAATAGTCATAAATAAATTCCACCTCATCTAATAGAGAACTTAATAGACATTTCCCAGATGCTTCCCAGGAACAGAAAACAGACTTGAAAATGTCATTCGGGAATATAGACAAATATTAAATACATCATTGAATGGTCAGTGAGAACTGACTTAAGCAATTTCAGCTATTAAACTGTATCTCTGATTTTTTGGGAGGGATGCTTTAATCAGTAATTGCATTCATTAATGAGTCTAGAATACTTTTATGAGCGAGGGGCTTGGTGGCTTACACCTGTAATCCTACTACTCAGGAGGCTGAGATCTGAGGATCACTGTTCAAAGCCAGGGCAGGAAAGTCCAGTTACACTGAATTTTAAGGCTATAAAATCTCAGCACTTAGGTCCTCCAGACTTGAGCAGAAAAAGTCAAGTGAGAGCATGGGGCCCTAAGTTTAAGTACAGTACCAACACTCAGATACACACACAAAAAAGTATTTATGATCCCACCAGAATTTACCATGTCATACAGAAATGATGATACAGCTCCTCCATAATGTCCTTGATTGCCTCACTGAAAAACAAGAAAATGTAACAAAGCACAAAAAGGTTAAAAAGCACAATTCCACTTCCAAGAGAGAATTGCTTAGGTCTTTAGCATTCCTGCTTATTTTTCTGAGCCATTACTTGAAAAAACATACTCACTAGCATAATAGATGTTCACTCCATATCCTGTTTGGTTGTATTCAACACAAAATTTTTCCCATGTGAATACAAACTTTCTATATGCTTAATGTTGTTTGCCTGCCGAACATTTCCTTGACACATGGAGGTGACAATGATAACACATCTGTGGGTTTTAGAAAAGGGACTCCAACAAAATAGGAAGCAGATGGAACAGGAAGCAGCTGTGCCAATCCAGGTGCAAGTTGCAAGGGCACAGAAGGTATAGAGGGTTAGAGATGAGGAAGGGAGATTCCTGAGGACTCTTGACTTTTGGGTGTAGGTGTTTTCAAGTTCATCTCCTGGCTTGGAAGACAGGGTACCATTGACTGAACTACCAAAAGATAGGAGAAAAAAATCCTAGCAACTCAAAGGCAGAGATCAGAAATTCGAGGTTCAAAGCCAGTCCAGGCAGGAAAGTCTGTGAGACTCTTTTAGCCAATTAACCAACATAAAAAAAAAATGGACATATGGCTCAAGTGGTAGAGTGCCAGCCTTGAGGGGAAAAGCCAAAGGAGAGCTCAAGGGCCTGAGTTCAAGCTCCAGTGCCAGCAGAAAGCCCCAAAACAAACAAAAAAACCCCACCATACCTCAATTTTGATGCATCTCATGATAGTGGTACAGAAGCAAATGTTTTTTCCATAAATTGATTCAAATTTTTTTTTTCCGGTAGTGGGGCCTGAACTCTGAGCGTGGGTGCTGTCCCTCAGCTCTTCAGCTCAAGGCTAGCATTCTACCACTTGAGCCACAGTGCCACTTCTGGCTTTTTTCTTTTTGCTTATGTGGTGCTGAGGAATTGAACCCAGGGCCTCATGCTTGCAAGGCAAGTGCTCTACCACTGAGTCACCTTCCCAGCCCTTGATTCAAATTTTTATGAGAGAATGGACTTCTGGAACACTGAAGTACATGAATCTATACAAAGCTACTGTTGGTTTGTTTGTTTTTTAAATTTAAATAATTAACTGGCAGCAGATTTCAGTTGAAACTTCTTAGATCCAAGGATCATTTCATATGATTCTAGAAAATTCTACTAACTTACATAGGTCATCATATACATATGCTTCATAAAGTCATTTATTAAAAAGCATTTATAATCCATAATTATTTATAATTGTGCTATGTCAAATCTGTTTTGTTAGACTTCACTAGAAGAAAATCACATTGTTATTTAAATCATTATTGCATCACCATTAACTGTTTCCCAATGACTTCTTAGAAAATGTGCTATGGGCAACTGACACAGTGGCTCAAACCTGTAATTCTAGCTGCCTGGAAATTAGGAGGATTGCACCTCAAGGCCAGTTTAGACAAAGAAATTTGACTGATTTTTCTCCTTCTCAGACAATAAAAAGATGGGTACAGTGGTTACACCTATCATCTCAGCCATGCAAGAAGCAATAAACAGTAGGATTGTGATCCATATTAGCCTGGGCCTAATGCAAGATTCTATTTGAAAAATAGCAAGATTAGCAGGTGCAGGTGCAGGTGGGAGCTGAGGACTGCAGTTCAAAACCAACCTGGGAAGGAAAGTCTGTGAGATTATCTCCAATTAATCACCAGAAAACCAGAAATAGCACTGTGGCTCAAAGCTCAGGAACAGCACCTAGGCCCCAAGGTCAAGTCCCACAACTGACCAAAAAAAAAAAAAAGGAAAGGAAAGAAAAGAGAAAAAGAAAAATAGCAAGAGAAAATGGGGCTAGGGAGGTGGCTTATGTGGTAGAGCACATGTAGTCTAGCAAGTGTAAGGCCCTTGAGTTCTAATTCCAATATCACACACACAAAAGAAGAGCAAACAAGAGGTTATATAATTTTGAAGTAGCAATATTTAAGAAATGGTATTTATTGCCGGGCACCAGTGGCTCATGCCTGTAATCCTAGCTACTCAGGAACCTGAGATCTGAGGATCATGGTTCAAAGCCAGCATGGGCAGGAAAGTCCAGGAGACTCTTATCTCCAATAAGCCACCAGAAAACTAGAAGTGGCGCTGTGGCTCAAGTGGTAGAGCACTCACCTTGAGCTGAAGAGCCGAGGGACAGTGTCCAGGCTTGGAGTTCAAGCCCCATGACTGACAAAAAAAAAAGAAATGGTATTTATTTAACTTTCCTACTTACAAGTCAGGCTAGATAGAGCTTCAATGTAGCAATGATTTAAAAACTACTTGTGGGGGGGGGAGGCAGTGTGGCTCAGTGGTGAAGTACTTGCCTAGCATGCATGAGGGTGTGATCACAGTAAAGCATTGACTACTTCATTACTTATACACATACATCTAGCGCAAAGACCAACCCAAACTCAGTTTGTTCTGTATGCTCACAACAAATCATTCTGTGATCCCAAAGTGTAAGAGGACTTTTCTTTACCACAAACAAGCAGCTAGACAGCCTTGCAGCTGGGGCCCAAGCTGGGTGTCCTCAAATTTAATTCCATTATGTTTACCTAGAGATCCAGTAAGATCTCAGGAGTTCAGGCCTCAGTCCCCAAGATGGCCTCTCCAGTCACCCCAGATTGTGCTTCTGTCCAATTGTATATAAATCAGGGTTTCCACAGTATCCTCCTTGGATTTGATTAACTTACTGTTTGTTTCTGTTTTTTGTGTGTGTGTGTTTTTTTTTTTTTTTGTAGGTTGAAGGGCTTGAACTCTGGGCCTGGGGACTGCCCCTGAGCTCTTCGGCTCAAGGCTAGTGCTCTATCACTTGAGCCACAGTGCTACTTCTGGTTTTATGGTAGTTAATTGGAGATAAGAGTCTCAGTTTCCTGCTTGGGTTGGCTTTGAACTGTGATCTTCAGATCTCAGCCTCCTGATTAGCTAGGATTACAATCATGAGCCTTGGAGCCTGGCTTGTTTCCATTATTGTACCAGTACTGGGGCTTACACTCAGTGCCTCAGTCTGTTTCTTGGCTATTTTGCTCAAGGCTGGTGTTCTACCACTTGAACCACACCACCATGACTAGTTTTTTCTGGTTAATTGGAGATAAAAGTCTTTCAGTTTTGTCTGCCCAGGATGGTTAAAAACTGGGATGCTTAGATCTCAGCTTCCTGATAGCTAGGATGAGAGGTCTGGTTAAGATTAATCATTTTATGTAAAATAATTGCAACAGTACCTAGCAAGTAAGAGGCACTGAGTAAGTGCTAGCTGTTCTCATTGTGGCGATACCATTATTATTTTTATTAACCTGAACAAGGTTAAAATAAGGCTCTATGAGCTCAGCATTTCCTCATCTTCACTACAAAGTCCCTAGTATTTTTTCTGCAAACTTAGATATAAGCAAACCATTCTAAACTATGTCAGCAAGGTTATTTTTGCTTATCTTGTTGCTGGCTTTGGTAAGGTCGGGGGCCTGGTGTGGAGAAGACCATCTGTGAAGATGGAACACAGCTTTTGCTAATAAATACTGCCATCCTCCTTAAATTTTGAAAAATATGGCCAGGATATTTGCCAAGTCCAGCTAATACTTGCTTTTATACTCAGTAAGAAACATTCTTTAAAGTTCTGTAGAACTGAGCACTGGAAGCTTATGCCTGTAATCCTAGCTTCTTAGGATGCTGAAATCTGAGAACTTAGGTTCAAAGCCAGCCCAGCAGACAAATTTGAGAGACTTTTATCTCCAGTTAACCAGTGAAAAACCAGAAGTGGAAGCGTGGCTCAAGCGGTAGGATACTAGCCTTGAATGAAAAAAGTCTTAGGGAGAGCCCGAATTTAAGCTCCAGTGCTAATATGCACGCACATATGCGTCCCCCCCCCCCACATGCTAAATTCTGGACTAAATTTAAGCTCCACTGCTAGTGCATGCATGTGTGTATGCGCGCACACACAGACACACACACGCATACCGAAAAAGAAAAAGACTAAGAAACTGCTTTGGTCAAACTCTCCAATGAAGTGTATAGTACTTAAAAATATTATCCAAGGTTCCTTTATTTACATTTGAATATCTGTTCTATTTCTAGGAGACAGATGAGCAAAAACTTCACAAAATAGCCAATGAACTTTTGTTGACAGAAAGAGCTTATGTGAACCGACTGGACCTATTAGATCAGGTAATTGCTTTCCCTTTCAGACTGATTTTCTGTTTGGCATTGTGCCTTCTTTTAACCTTGTAATGATAGTGTTTCAGAGACTGTACAAGATGGAGCCTTGAGTATGAGTTCACATACAGAGGCTTTTAAAAAATATTTTTATTATCTATAATAGTTGTACAAAGGAGTTACCATTCAACAAAGTAGTTTATGTATACAGTGTGCCTTGATCAGTGTCACCCCTTTCAACATTCTAATTCATCCCTCCAAATGGAGAGCTGTTAACTGTATACTGAAATCCCATTCCTGCAGTTTGAACTGAGGGCCTGAGCACTGCCCTGAGCCTCTTTTTCCTCAAGGTTAACACTTTACCACTTGAACTATAGTGCCACTTCTGGCTTTTTCTTTTATGTGGTACTGAGGAATTGAACCCAGGGCCATGTATGCTAGGCAAACACTCTATGACTAAGCCACATTCCCGGCCTGATAATAACTCCTGAAAACTAAGGAATCATAATCCTTAGTAGATTGTCAATATAGACTTCCTTTGGGCTGGTACTACAGCTTGAACTCAGGGGTTTGTCCTCTTGCTTAGCTTTTATTGCTCAAGTATACCACTCTACCACATCTCTACTTCCGGGTTTTTGCTAGTTAATTGGAGATAAGAATCGTCCAGATTGTCTTCCCTAAGCTGGCTTTGAATTGGGATCCTCAAATCTCAGCCTTCTGAGTACCTAGGATTGCTGGCATGAACCACCAGCACCTAACTTCAGACTTCCATTGTTAAAAGAAAGAACTGCTAGGTTCTGAGTGTTTGTTACAAGAATTGGCTTCCTTATGCTACTAGAAACTTGGAATTTTATGGTAGCAGGAAGGCCTGGGCAACAAAGCCTTGCCGGTTAATTAGAGAATATGTGGCTTAGTGGTAGAATGCTTGCCTAGCATGCATGAAGCCCTGGGTCAATTCCTCAGAAACACATAAACAGAAAAAGCCAGAAGTGGTGCTGTGACTCAAGTGGTAGAGCACTAACCTTGAGCATGGAGAGACTCAGGGATAGAGCCTAGGTCTTAAATTCAAGCCCCAAGACTTGGGGGGAAAAAAATCTCTCAAATTTATCTAGTAGGCTGGCTTTGAACCTCCTGAGTAGCTAGGATTATAGGCATTAACTGTCTGGCACCTGACTCCAGGTTGGATTTTTTTAAGTCAAGTGAACTTGGCTACTATTTCCGATCTTTTTGAATTTTTTTTTGGGGGGGTCCAGTCGTGGGGCCTGAACTCTGGGCCTGGGCGCTGTCCCTCAGCTCTTCAGCTCAAGGCTAGCGCTCTACCACTTGAGCCACAGCGCCACTTCCGGCTTTTTTTTTCTTTTTGCTTATGTGGTGCTGAGGAATCGAACCCAGGGCCTCATGCATGCAAGGCAAGCGCTCTACCACTGAGCCACCTTCCCAGCCCCATGAATGCAATTATTTTTGCTCCTTTATCAGTTTTCCTTCATCTTTGCATCTCTTTTTTTTTTCTTTCTTTCTTGTCTGAGACTAGAATTTAATAACTCATTGTTTACCACTCAGGTGGTAACCTGAGCCACACCTCCAACCCCTGCCTTTCTCATAATTTTGTCCTAGCCTTGGGGCTTGAACTCAGGTACTGGGTGCTGCCCCTGAGCTTTTTTTGCTCAAGGCTAGCACTTTACCACTTGAGCCATAGCTCTACTTCTGGCTTTTTGATTGATTAATTGGAGAAAAGAGTCTCTCAGATTTTCCTACCTAAGCTAACTTTGAATCAAGATCTGCAGATCTTAGCCTCCTGAGTAACTAGGATTACTAGATATTCAATATTCAGTTGAATATTGAATATAATAAAAGCTGTCACTCCTGTAGTGTGTAGTCACTGATGTCTCCACCAAGCTGTTTTAGTGAGTATTGTTTTGTTTATTTGTGAGTCTGGCTGTCTAGGAGCCCATATTTCTTGGGTTAGTTACCTGGCCAAACAGCTGGTTGGCAGAGGTGCTCAACTACCTAGAACTAGTAAGCTTCTTTCCCAGGTTGACAGACTTGACCTTAAAAATCAGGTCAGGTCTCACCAGACACTGATGACTCCCACCTGTAATCCTAGCTGCTCAGAAGGCTGAGATCTAAGGATCATGTTTCAAAGCCAGCCTGAGCAGGAAATGTCCATGAGACTTACCTCCAATTAAGTACCAAAAAGCTACAAATGGACCTGTGGCTTAAGTGGTAGAGAGTGATCTCAAGCCTTGAGTTCAAACACTAGTACCAGAAAAAAAAAATCACGTCTCTAAAACCTTTCATATCTGCCATCCACATGTATACAGGCTCAGTACAGCCAGGAGAAAATTTTGCCTTGGGCTCTATAGTCTCTTCTGATAATTCACATTTCACAGCCAAAAACATCTTGTGACTAGCAGTCATTGATCCACCACACCCATCCAGCTCAGTATTCCTCACTTCTGGTGGGCATATTTCTCTGTGTGAGTATTGCCCACCTCTCCACATTGAATACTCCCCTCTTAGTCTCTGCATAGAAGGCTGTGTCCTCACAGCCTGTACTACCTTTATATCGACAGACTTGGGGATCAGCATTCCCAGGCTAGAATGCCTCAGATTCTGTGTTCATACAGCTTTTTTTATTTTGTTGTTGTTGTTTGTGCAAGTTTTGGGCTTGAACTTGGCTTTACACTCTTCTTTAGCTTTTTCTACTCAAGGCTGGTGCTCTAGCACTTGAGCCAAACCTCTACTTCCTGCATTTGCTAGTTAATTAGAGATAAGAATCTTTTGGATTTGTCTTCGTGAGCCAGCTTTGAACCAAGATGATCAGGTCTGAGCTTCTTAAGTAGGTAGAATTACAGGTGTGAGCCATCAGTACCCAACTGGGTCTACTTTTTGATAGAGAGGTTGCTAAGACTGAAATTTGGGGACAAGGTTTGCCTTCACATTCTGTTTCCCCAGTGACATTGTCTTAACTATTAAGCCAAACAGATACCTCTAGAGTCAGGTGTCCATAGTGCAGACTTCCACCCCAGTCTAAAACTTCTAATGTCTGTGTGCTGTTTACATGAATCCATATAAAGAACATGTCCAAACATTTAATGTGCTTTGTTTTGTTGTTGTGGGGTTTTTTGTTTTTTATTTTTTATTTTTTGCCGGGCCTGGGCACTGTCCCTGAGCCTCTCCATGCTCAAGGCTAGTGCTCTACCACTTGAGCCACACCACCACTTCCAGCTTTTTCTATTTATGCGGTACTGAGGAATCAAACCCAGGGCTTCATGCATGCTAAGGAAGCACACACTAAGCCACATTCCCAGCCCCTGCTCTGTTTTTATCATTAGATCCAAATCAATGTTTCCATCTGACTTTGTGCCTTTCACAGACTAGGAAGTAATTCTGATATCTGATTGGTCAGAATCAGTGACACCAGTAGGCTTGGCAATGTGGCTGTGTGTGTGTATGTGTGGGGGGGGTTGTGGGGGGCACAGTGAGAGAGAGAGAGAGAGACAGAGACAGACAGAGAGCAGGGACTGGAGCTTGAACTCCCAATCTCTTGACTTTTGCTCATGGCTTGCATTCTACGACTTGAGCCACACTTTTACTTCTGACTTTATGCTGGTTAATTAGAAATAAGAGCCTCATGGGTTTGTCTGCCCTGGCGGGTTTTGAACTACGATCCTCAGATCTCAGCCTTCTAAGTAGCTAGTATTACAGGTGTGTCAGACACTGGTACCCTACCTGGTTTTATTTCCTCATACGTATTTATTTGCCTGAGAAATGATGAGTTGAATATATGGAGCCTAACACACATTACATAGCAATTCCTCACTAGTTATCAGCACTGATGTTGGTAGTTTTAGGTGTGGGAGGGTTGAAGACTTTAAAATTATCTTTATGTAGTTGTACAAAGGGGTTTCAATTTAACATAGTAATTTATAAGTGCAAGGCATCTTGATCAGTGTTACCTTCCTTCACTCTCTACTTATTGTTTATCAAAACTTACCTTCTTTTGCAGTATCTATCTTCTCCACATTATAAGGAAATAACAAGAGCTAAGGAGAGTTCTAGAGTCAGATCAACAGGCCTCAGGCCCTTCAGGTCACTTGTTCTCAGAAAACACTAGAATTTGGAGGAGTCACCATTTTTTATGTAAACAAAAGTTATGTATCTGTAATATTTTCATGGTGTACACAATAGATCAATTAGGGGAAATCAAATAATTAAATTTATAAACTTAGTATCTTATACTTTATTAAGGGAAGTTATTGTTTCTCCAGTTTCCATATCAATTTTTGAGCCCTGATTACTTTTTTTTTTTTTGTCCTGGGGCCTGAGAAACTCTGGGCCTGGGCACTGTCCCTCACCTCTTCAGCTCAAGACTAGTGCTCTACCACTTGAGCCACAGTGCCACTTGTGGCTTTTTTTCTGCTTATGTGGTGCTGAGAAATTGAACCCAGGGCCTCATGCATGCAAGGCAAGCACTCTACCACTGAGTCACCTTCCCAGCCCACCCTGATTACTTTTTTCCTCATCTACAATAACAACTACTCAGTGAATTTCCCCATAGGTTCCTAGAACCCTATTGCTGTAGATTCATCTTGTAGCTTAGATGATGACAACTCTTGTGCACAAAAACCTCATTTTCCAAAAAAGCCTACCTGTTTCCTTTTACTAAACATATGGTCAGTCACCACTGCCCTCCTGTTCCAGAACTTCTTTCTCGTCTTTCTCACTTTCCTTCCCACCAAACTGTGTACTGTAGGTGCTGCTCAGTGCTCTCCTGATGAAGCCTTCAATCATTTACTTGAATTGAATGCAAACACATCTCCTAATAAAGCATTCAGTATCAACCCCTCAGTGCCCTGATCATGGTATAAGTTCAGTAAGAATTTAAATGAGATTTCTGCTTTGTATAACATGAATAGCACATCCTGTTTTCATCCTTTCTTCACTTGCAGACAAGGTATACAAGCTTAATTTTGCCCTAAGAATTGGACTTTGGTTTTAATGAAAAATGTCTGGGCCTAATGAAAACTAAAGTTTTCTGACAGTTAGTAGGATGCCCAGATCTTGTCTCTCTTTTCTATGGAGTCTTTTTTTTTTTTTTTTGGTTGTTGTTCAGTTCAAAGTAACTGCATTTAGGATAGTGTTACAATGAAATACTTCCTGCAGAATACTAAGATATTTCATATTGTTGTGCTTAGTGATCCTATTAAACAGGTGTGTCTTTAGAAAAATAGCTGAAGAATTATTTCATAATGTGACTTTGTAAATCCTAACAGTTGTTAAGGCTCCTGACAACTTGGAATTTTCTTTTTTTCTTTTTTTGGGGGGGGTTGGGGTCTGGTCGTGGGGCCTGAACTCTGGGCCTGGGCGCTGTCCCTCAGCTCTTCAGCTAAAGGCTAGAGCTCTACCACTTGAGCCACAGTGCCACTTCCAGCTTTTTTCTTTTTTCTTATGTGATGCTGAGGAATCGAAGCCAGGGCCTCAGGCATGCAAGGCAAGCGCTCTACCACTGAGCCACCTTCCCAGCCCAACTTGGAATTTTCTTGCTTAAAATTCTACTTTTTTTGTGGAGGTGGGAGGGAAGGGATGGTAGAGGAAAACAAAGGAGGAGGCAACAATGCTTGATAAGAAATGTACTCATTACCTTGTTCATGTAATTGTAACCCCTCTGTACAGTATTGTTACAGTAAAAATGTACAAAAAAAAGAACACAAAAAAAATTCTACTTTTTTGTGGGGAGGGGCGTTTGGAGGGAGTGCAGGACAGTGGTGCTTGTACTAGGACCTGAAGTCAGAGCCTCACACTGCTATGGATGATGCTCTTCCACTAAAGCCACATCTCCACTTTGGGCTTTTTGGTTAATTGGATATAATAGCTGAGCTTCCTGAGTAGAAACATTATAGGCATAAGCCACCTGGTTTCTGCTTGTTTTTTTTTTCCCCTTTCTGTTTCTATACACAGTGTATACTCTTCAGACTTTAATGCTATAAAAATAAAGGGCTATTTTAAAATGCCTATTCTGTAGCTCCTCTACCCCAAGTTCTGATTTCATAGATTGAGATAAGATTCATAAATGTGCCTTTTTAAATTTTTTATTGCTGTTATAAAGGTGATGTACAAGGGGGGTTTACGTTTGCGTAAGTCAGGTAAAGAGTACATGTTTGGGTCTGGGAGTATGACTTAGTGGTAGAGTGCTTGCCTAGCATGCATGAAAGAAGCCCTCAGACCACATAAACAGAAAAGGCCAGAAGTGGCGCTGTGGCTCAAATGGTAGAGTGCTAACCTTGAGCAAAAAAAGCTCAAGGATGGCACTTAGGCTCTGAGTTCAACCCCCAGGACTTGGGGAGGTGGGAGGGGAGAGAGAGAGAGAGAAGTTCTTTCTTTAAAAAAAAAATCAACCAATCCTGGGGCTTGAACTCTGGGCCTGGGCCCTGTCCCTGAGCTCTTTTGCTCAAGGCGAACACTCCTCCACTTGAGCCACAATGCCATTTCCTGCTTTTTTGAGAATTTAATTGGAGATAAAAGTATCACAGAATTTCCTGCCTGGGCTGGTTTTGAACCATGATCCTCAGATCTGAACCTCTTGAGTAGCTAGGATTACAAGCGTGAGCCACAAGTGCCTGGCTTATGTGTACCTTTCTTTTTGGACAGTGCCACCCCTTCCCTCTCTCTCTCTCCCAGTTTTTCCCTCCCATCCCCACCCAGAAGTTCATAAATGTACATTTTATATGTGTATGTATATGCATGTGTGTGTGTGTGTATGTGTGTGTGCGTGCGCGCGCGCATGTGCCTATTCTGGGGCTTGAACTAAGGGACTGGGTACTGCCCCTGAGCTTTTTTGCTCAAGGCTAGCACTCTACCAAGCAAGCCATAGCTTTGCTTCTACCATTTTGGTGGTTAACTGTAGATAAGAATTTCAGAAGGGGGGCTGGGAAGGTGGCTCAGTGGTAGAGTGCTTGCCTTGCATGCATGAGGCCCTGGGTTCGATTCCTCAGCACCACATAAGCAAAAAAAAAAGCTAGAAGTGGCACTGTGGCTCAAGTGGTAGAGCGCTAGCCTTGAGCTGAAGAGCTGAGGGACAGCGCCCAGGCCCAGAGTTCAGGCCCCATG